ATAAACAACTGTGGTGTGATCCATTTGACAATAGATCTCAAATTTCTGCTATACTGAAACTTTGCAGAATTCCAACCAAGAATTCAAGTAAAAAACACATTTCTTTATGTTGTTTGCAGTGAAATGAATCATGGGATATGTAGTTCCCAATGTTTATAAGCTGTTGCTACTATAAAATCATTAATTTAAGCAAAGGAACTTGTAATTTAACATTTTGTGACCAGTCCACGAAATTATTGTGAGATTTTGACGATACGACATCACAATATTTCGGTTATTGTTACATCCCTACATGATAACTAGACTTTTTCTTGAATTTTCAGACAACTTGATGTGTGCATTGTGTCACTATGGTAACTATGAACATTCCGCAAATAGAGATACACGTATAGGACACTCCCAGCATGATGTCATTGCAAAGCATCAGCGCTGTTACACCACTGCCCTATTTAAAATGAATTGAAAACCACTCCAGCTGTCAGACTTGGTAAACCCTATATGTAACTTTTCTATTTTAATCTATAGTATCTGGGATGTGCACAGTTCGCCTTCCAGGAAACACACGGATTACACACAGACACTACCGGGTCAAGCTTGGGTCAAATTCTGATGATTTAAAGAACAAGAAAAGTGCTTAGAGTCGGACCATGTATCACTGCTAATGTTGGAATAGTAAAGAAGGAATAAGATCTCGCCAGACAAAATTGCCACAAGAAGAAAAATGATGTTTTCTAGGGATTAGGGGTGTGCAGAAATATTGAAATATCGACATATCGTATCGTTTAATGTGATGATACAGTATCGATATCGTGGGCTGCTGTATCGATACATATCTCCAAGAGTATTTTTTTTGGTATATTTTACTAAATTATTTTGTTACAGAGCTACGGCTTTGTTGATTGTTTAGTGGAAGAAAACTTGTTTTATGTGACACATTTGACATTTTCACTGTTTTCATGATTAAAATGTTTGTGTTTCATATGAACTTTGCACAAGAAGTGGTTTAACAAAGACTTTTAGTATCACAGCCATGATTTACACATTATTTATTATTGGATTGTATCGAACTGATTTGAAATATATCGTATTGAATAATATCGAATCGTAAGATCACTGTATCGCGATATGTATCGTATCGGCAACTTCTGAATGATACCCAGCCCTACTAGGGATGTAACGATATCCAAATCTCTCAGTACGATATTATCACGATACCCATCTCACTGTACGATATTTATTGTGATATTTTGGAGAAGATAATATAATTGTAGATAGGTTTCTTTTTGTCATAATCCCAAGAATTCAACTCAAAAACATATTTCTTCATGTTGTTTGCACTGAAATGAATCATGGGATATGTAGTTTCTGATGTTTATAAGCTGTTGCTGCTATAAAACCATGCATTTAAGCAAAGAAACTTGTAATTCGATATATTGTTACAGCCCACGATATTATTTTGAGACTTTTGACGATACGATCACAATATTTTGGTTATTCTTAAATCCCTAATGGTTTCCGTTTGGATTGGACAAGGAAAAGTTAAGTGCCAGTGATTTAAATTTCCTTGAGAGCTGTCGTTTCAAAACACAGTTCTATAATGACAACAAAACCAAATAAATAGAAATGTTGGAACAATTTATTGCAAATGTTTTCAAAACCTCGCCTTGTCTTGTCTTGTTCTCGTGGCTCCAGTCTCATCTCATCTCGTCTTGTGGGAACTGTATCCATAGAGGTGGGACGAGATCATTCCCGTTAATGTTAGAATTGATTTTAAGATTTTATTGTTTGTTTTTAAAGCTTTGATTGGACTGGCTCCACAGTACGTCTTGGACCTCATCCAAATTTACACCCCCGCCTGCGCTCTGAGGTCCAAGGTTCAGCTCCAGCTCGTGGGGCTTAAGACCAGACTTAAAACCAGGTGGGACCGGGACCTTCACTGTGGCTTGAGCCAAACTCTGGAACGTTCTGCCCCCCCCCCATGTCCCAACAGCCCCACAGTGGAGTGTTTTAGGTCTCGTTTTAAAACTCACTTTTATTCTCTGGCTTTTACCACCGCGCGAGTTGTGGTGGTGGTCCTTTGTGTCTTTTATTTATTTTTAATGTATTTTATTGATTTTATTTATTTATTGCCATTCTATTGTTTTATTGTTTTAGGACTAGTATGATTAAATCTGAGCGTTTATTTTATCATCATATTCTGACTGTGAGCGAGGTCGCCTATTCACGGATCTCATCTGTAAATTGGCCGGGTGGCGTCTCCTGCTTGTCTCTATGGAGATTGATAAATTTAATTCCTTACTTTGGAACATTGCAGGCAAAGCAATAACATCTCCATTAGATACAAGCAGCTGACCTTTAAACTTCAATTATGAACACACCAGATTTATATATAAGCAAGGTCATCTACTATTATACTACTACTACTACTACTACTACTACTACTACTACTACTTAGGGCTGGGCGATATGGAGCAAAAAATATATTGCGATATCTGTACAGGAAAAATAACCCCCCAAATCCACTGTAAAATCAAATTCCACAATGTTCATTTAGGAACAAAGTGCTTCTGTGACATTAATAAAATCATCCCTGTATACAAAAATAATACATATTGTCTTGTTCAAAATTTAATTAAAACAACTCAACTCAAGCTCATCTTTGCTTTAACTCTGTTAACCATATGATAACCAGAACCATGAGCTCCTTCAGCAGAGGAAGTTTGGGAGGTTCCTTACAGTACTACTACTACTACTACTACTACTACTACTACTACTACTACTACTACTACTACTACTACTACTACTACTACTACCACTACTACTACTACTACTACTACTACTACTACTACTACTACTACTACCACTACTACTACTACTACTACTACTACTACTACTACTACTACTACCACTACTACTACTACTACTACTACTACTACTACTACTACTACTACTACTACTACTACACTACTACTACTACACTACTACTACTACTACACTACTACTACTACTACTACTACTACTACTACTACTACTACTACTACTACTACTACTACTACTACTACTACTACTACTACTACTACTACTACTACTACTACTACTACTACTACTACTACTACTACTACTACTACTACTACTACTACTACTACTACTACTACTACTACTACTACTACTACTACTACTACACTACTACTACTACTACTACTACTACTACTACTACTACTACTACTACTACTACTACCACTACTACTACTACTACCACTACTACTACTACTACTACTACTACTACTACTACTACTACTACTACTACTACTACTACCACTACTACTACTACTACTACTACTACCTACTACACTACTACTACTACTACTACTACTACTACTACTACTACTACTACTACTACTACTACTACTACTACTACTACTACTACTACTACTACTACTACTACTACTACTACTACTACTACTACTACCTACTACTACTACTACTACTACTACTACTACACTACTACTACTACTACTACTACCTACTACTACTACTACTACTACTACTACTACACTACTACTACTACTACTACTACTACCACTACCTACTACTACTACTACTACTACTACTACTACTACTACTACTACCTACTACTACTACTACTACTACACTACTACTACTACCACTACTACTACACTACTACTACTACTACTACTACTACTACTACTACTACTACTACACTACACTACTACTACTACTACTACTACTACTACTACTACTACTACACACTACTACTACTACTACTACTACTACTACTACTACACTACTACCACTACTACTACTACACTACTACACTACTACTACTACTACTACTACTACTACTACTACTACACTACTACTACTACTACTACTACTACTACTACTACCTACTACTACTACTACTACTACTACTACTACTACTACTACTACTACTACTACTACTACTACTACTACTACTACTACTACTACTACTACTACTACTACTACTACACTACCACTACTACCTACTACTACTACTACTACTACTACTACTACTACTACTACTACTACTACTACTACTACTACCACTACTACTACTACTACTACTACTACTACTACTACTACTACTACTACTACTACTACTACTACTACTACTACTACACTACTACACTACTACCCTACTACCACTACTACTACACTACTACTACACTACCACTACTACACTACCACTACTACCACACTACTACTACCACACTACTACTACTACACTACTACACTACTACTACTACCACTACTACTACCACTACTACCACTACTACTACCTACTACTACTACCACTACTACACTACCACTACTACTACTACTACTACTACTACTACTACTACTACTACTACTACCACTACTACTACCACTACTACTACTACCTACTACACTACCACTACTACTACTACCACTACTACTACTACTACTACTACTACTACTACTACTACACACTACTACTACTATTACCACTACTACTACTACTACTACTACTACAATTGCTTTGAGAGGAATGTTCCACAGTATGGCATTACACTTCTATTACACATTCAATCTTGTATTTATTCAATTACAGGTGTTTTAATTGCAAAAATAAATAACCTAAAAACAGTTATTCTTATAGTAAACAAGCTCACAACTCCAGAGATCTGACCTGTAACTAGGCCTGGTGGCGTCACATGCAGATTGACAAGTTTATATTAATGCCATACAGTGGAACATTCCAGGTAAAGGCTTAAGCAAACAAGCAGTGGGCCGATTCTCCCACAGAATAATTACAGTGTTACAGGGCACATTTTTTAGAAAGAAATGGATTGACGCCATTACTCGCACAAAAGAAACTCAAGTCACTCAAGCTGACGACTGAACAATGAAAATGACCAAACTAAAATGCTTAAAATTCAAAGTTCAAATTGTGCAAACATTTTAGAGTTGTATAATTTGTGTGGTTTTGTTCTTACCTTCAGTGGAGGATCCGGACAAGTCGATGACCACGTAGACTTTTCCTTCAGGTTCCAGGTCGATCTGAGGAGCAGAGGAGAGCGGGTTAAATACACGGTTTATTGGGACCCATGATATATCAGTATCGGCCAATATCGAAAAACTGACGATGTTTGGCACTGATATTTTCCACCCCCGTCTCTGTGCCCATGTGTCATTCCCAGTTTGTCCTCAGTGCTTCAGATTTGTCTTTGAGAACAGATTAATAAATGAAAATGGAAACAGAAGAAAAATAAGGCATAAAATATTAAAGAATAGAGCTGGGTATCATTAAGAATTTGCCGATACGATACAAACCTCAATACATTGCGCTTTCGATTCGATACGATATATTTCAAATCGTTTTGATACGGTTCAACAAAAATAAATGCAAAATCATGGCTGTGATATTAAAAGACCGACGCAGAACTCAGTGCCCGAATCACCCGATTGTGCTTTGTGGACACCCTGCTCCGCGGGCTCAGGGTTCTCCCTCTCTCAAGTCCAAAATTAGTCCTGGTTTAGACCTGATTTAGACCTGGTTTAGTCCTGGTTTATTCCTTGTTTAGACTTAGTTTAGTCCTGGTTTAGTCCTTGTTTAGTACTGGTTTAGACCTAGTTTAGTCCTTGTTTAGAACCTAGTTTAGTCCTGGTTTAGTCCTGGTTTAGTCCTTGTTTAGTACTGGTTTAGACCTAGTTTAGTCCTTGTTTAGAACCTAGTTTAGTCCTGGTTTAGTCCTTGTTTTGTACTGGTTTAGACCTAATTTAGTCCTTGTTTAGAACCTAGTTTAGTCCTGGTTTAGTCCTGGGTTAGTCCTTGTTTAGTCCTTGTTTAGACCTAGTTTAGTCCTGGTTTATTCCTAGTTTAGTCCTTTATTCCTGGTTTAGTCCTGGTTTATTCCTGGTTTAGTCCTGGTTTATTCCTGGTTTAGTCCTTGTTTAAAACTAGTTTAGTCCTTGTTTAGTCCTGATTTAGTCCTGGTTTAGTCCTGGTTTAGTGTTTTAGCACAGTAACAAAATAATTGAGTAAAATATACAAAAAAATACTCCTGATGATATATCGATACATCAGGCCACGATATTGATATTGTATCATCACATTAAACCATATGATATATCAATATTTTGATATTTTTACAACCCCTAAATGCATCTAAATTATTATTATTTTTACAAAAGTCATACATTTGTGACCTTTACCTCAACCTAAAGAGTGGTATTGCATTTCTGTGGGATATTAAATAACAAGAGAGGGAACAAGTTTCAGTTTTGTTTTGTTGTGAGTCCTCTCTCCCCTTGCTCCCTACGCTAAGTCACTCCTCCTTCAGAGCACTGTGTCAACACAATCACAGTTCTGCTTTTGGATATTTATGGGCAATGGCATAATTTTAAACATCAAATTTGTGGATCTTGTTGTATTTCAAAATCAGAATATTGGTGTTAGTAAGTATCAGATATTGAAAACCCATATCAAATAATCTCTACTGATTCTCGTCATTTGAGCTGAGCGCAGGCAGTGGCCTTCTTTGGCAAAAACAAAGCAGCTTCGCTCTGCAACTACTGTTTATCTCATCTCCAGAGCCGCATTCATTAACAGGCCCTTAAACACACTATTATTAACCACTAAAGCACGAGTGCAACGCAGCGCAGCTTTGGGTTCAATACAAGAACAGGCCACAGTACACCAAGGTGAAGAAGCCAGGACTAAACCAGGACTAAACCAGGTCTAAAGCAGGTCTCTAAAAGCAGGTCTGGACTAAAGCAGGTCTGGACTAAACCAGGTCTGAACCAGGACTAAAGCAGGTCTGGACTAAAGCAGGTCTGGACTAAAGCAGGACTGAACCAGGACTAAACCAGGACTAAAGCAGGTCTGGACTAAAGCAGGTCTGGACTAAAGCAGGTCTGGACTGGACTAAAGCAGGTCTGGACTAAAGCAGGACTGAACCAGGACTAAACCAGGACTAAAGACTAAAGCAGGTCTGGACTAAAGCAGGTCTGGACTAAAGCAGGTCTGGACTAAACCAGGTCTGAACCAGGACTAAAGCAGGTCTGGACTAAAGCAGGTCTGGACTAAAGCAGGTCTGGACTAAAGCAGGACTGAACCAGGACTAAAGCAGGTCTGGACTAAAGCAGGTCTGGACTAAAGCAGGACTGAACCAGGACTAAAGCAGGTCTGGACTAAAGCAGGTCTGAGAGCAGGGCCGAACCAGGAATAAAGCAGGACTAAACCAGGACTAAAGCAGGACTAAACCAGGACTAAAGCAGGACTAAATCAGGACTAAACCAGGACTAAAGCAGGACTAAACCAGGACTAAAGCAGGACTAAAGCAAGACTAAACCACGACTAAATCAGGACTAAAGCAGGACTAAATCAGGACTAAAGCAGGTCTGAGTGCAGGGCCAAACCAGGACAGAACCAGGACTAAAGCAGGTTTGAGAGCAGGGCCGAACCAGGACTAAACCAGGACTAAACCAGGACTGAACCAGGACTAAGGCAGGTTTGGACTAAAGCAGGTCTGGACTAATGCAGGTCTGAGAGCAGGGCCGAACTAGGACTAAAGCAGGACTAAAGCAGGACTAAAGCAGGACTGAACCAGGACTAACATAGGTCTGAGTGCAGGGGACCAGGACTAAAGCAGGACTAAAACAGGACTGAACCAGGATTAAGCAGGACTAAAGCAGGACTAAAACAGGACTGAACCAGGACTAAAGCAGGTCTGAGTGCAGGAATGAACCAAGATTGAACCAGGACTAAACCAGGACTGAACCAGGACTGAAGCAGCTCTGTGTGCAGGGCCAAACTAGGACTAAAGCAAGACTAAACCAGGACTGAACAAGAATTAAACCAGGATTAAACCAGAACTAAACCAGGTCTATGTGCAGGGCTAAAGCAGGACTGAACAAAATTTAAACCAGGACTGAACCAGGACTAAACCAGACCAAACCAGGTCTAAAACAACTCAATCTAAATCTGGCCTAAGAAGGACAAACATCTGGACAAAATCAGATCTAAACCAGGAATAAAACAGGACTGAATCTGGATTAAACCAGGTCTAAATCAGGAAGAAACAGGTCTAACCCAGGCCAAAATCAGGATAAATCACAACTAAACTATGACTAACAAAAACTAGGACAGAAAATGAAACTAGGTCTAAATAATAAACCAAACCAGGAGTAAAACAGGACTAAAATGGGACTAAATCACAACTAAACCACTAGTGTTAAGCAATCCTTGAATAAACTTTTGTCACAGCTCAAAAAAGGTCCCCAAAAAATGATAAGGCTGATACAGTTCGCAAAAGTTCACAGTAATTTATAGAATTTGACAGTGTGATTTCACATAAGAATGTAGACACCAATGCGCTGCTCCCCCTTGCTGTTTCTAAACCTGAAGGCGAGGTATTTTCAAAGGAGATGTAGCTTCAGTTTCAGATTGTTGTTGTTGTGGGCAGAGGTGCGAAATCCAAACGCTTCATTTTTAGTCCAGTGAAGAGCCCACAGTTATTTTAGCCAAACTTTTAAATGTTAAGACAAACTTTAAGACACGATCAGCACGAAATGGTCTTGGATTATGTGTTATTAAAAACTCAAATTAATAGAAATTTGTTGTATTTTGTCAAGACATCGAAACATCCACATCTAACCCTTCAGTCTTTGTTTAGGCTTGGTTTAGACCTGGTTTAGATCTAGTTTTGTCCTGGTTTAGTCTTTGTTTAGTCCTGGTTTAGTTGTAGTTTAGACCTGGTTTAGTCCTGGTTTCAATCTGGTTTAGGCCCAGTTTAGCCCTGGTTTAGACCAATTTTTTCTTGGTTTAGTCCTGGTTTAGTCCTGGCTTATTCTTGGTTCAGACCCAGTTTAGTCCTGGTTTAGACCTAGTTTAATCCTGAATTGGTCTTGGTTTAGACCTAGTCTAGTCCTGGTTTAGGCATGGTTTAAACCTGTTTTTTTCTGCTTTAGTCCTGGTTTCGACTGGTTTAGTTCTGATTTAGACCTGGTTTAGTCCTGGTTTAGTCCTGATTTAGATCTGGTTTAGTCCTGGTTTAGACCTGGTTTAGTCCTTGTTTAGACTTGGTTTAATCCTGGTTTAGACCTGGTTTAGACCCAGTTTAGTCCTGGTTTAGTCCTGGTTTAAACCTGTTTTTTTCTGCTTTAGTCCTGGTTTAGTCCTGGTTTTGGTTTAGTCCTGGTTTTTTTAGACCTGGTTTAGTTCCTGGTTTAGACCTGGTTTAGTCCTCGTTTTAGTCCTGGTTTAGTCCTGTTTAGACCTTAGTTTAGTCCTGATTTAGTCCTGGTTTAAACCTGTTTTTTTTTTTTTTTTAGCTTTTAGTCCTGGTTTATAGTCCTGGTTTAGTCCTGGTTTAGACCTGGCTTAGTCTTGTTTTAGACCTGGTTTAGTCCTGCGTTAGACCTGGTTTAGTCCTGGTTTAGACCTGGTTTAGTCTCGTTTTAGATCTGGTTTAGTCCTGCTTTAGACCTAGTTTAGTCCTGGTTAAGACTTGGTTCAGTCCTGATTTAGTCCTGTCCCTAAACTAATATAATGACAACTACATCAATTACAGTTGTGATGATTGGATTGACGAGAGCAGAGTGAGAAAAGAGAGAGAGAGAAAGAGGGTAAGGTGTGAGAGAGTGAGAGAAACGGAGAGAGAGAGAAATAAAAGGTGAGAGAGAAGAGAAGAGAGCGAGTGTGAGAGGAGACAGAGAGAAAGACAGAAAGAGAGAGCGAGTGAGTGCATGGAGAGAAAGAGAGAGGGAGAGAGACCCTTAAATCCTGTTTAAGCCCTGGGACAGATCCGCTTATGCAACAGCACACACACACACACACACACACACACACACAGACACACACACACACACACACACACACTCATGTAAACATCCATGCATACAGCACACAGGGCAAACAGGAGCCATAGTGTCCCTCTGTCCAGCTCAGACGGGTCAAACTCAGTCACGCATCTGCTCACAAACACTCACATCACAACACACTATAGGCAACTTCCTATAATTGGCGCCATTTTGAGGACTTTTCACCGTTCTGTGAA